AATTAAATGAAATTAAAATAAAATAAAATCCAACAGATGTGGATGAGTGTGCTGACACCCCTGACCTATGCGGGGGTGGAATGTGCACCAACGAGCCGGGGGACCTACAGCTGCACCTGTATCGATGGCTTCATCACGGAGCCCTCTGGCAAGATGTGCATGGACGTGGACGAGTGTGCCCTCAACCCCAACATCTGTCAGAACGGGCAGTGTGAGAACACCAGGGGGTCCTTCGCCTGTCTGTGTGATCCCGGATATTCTGTGAAGAAGGAGGGAGAGGGATGCACAGGTGAGGAGGTTTTTTTTCTCTCAAAACAAAGAAGAGAGCATGACTGTGTAAAAATGTTTTATGAACATTATGGATTTAAGAAGTTTTAACACTCTATGTTCCGATATAGGACTCTTCTTTTGTTATAATGTCAAGATAAACATTTACTATTAGGCCAAACCATTTAATTTCTTGGTTAACGTTATTTTTCTAAAGAAAAATAATAGAGGCGGGCGGGCGAAAAAAAATTAAATAAAAACAGGCCTAGGCATCCTATTACGGCCCAAAATGGTACGATAGGAGCCATGAAGTCAACACACCAGGCTGGTTCAAAATTTAAACAATGAATTTTGAACTTTTAATGATACCACTGCATTGAAAGATGGAATAACTGTAACAACTAGGATGAAAAGGACTGTTTTCAACTGTTCAGGGCAAAGTATGATCATTTTGCAGTTGATTCTGAATTTTTAATTTTATTTGCAAATCAGAAAAAAATGAAGCGGGCGAATCCGTTAACCAAGAAACTAAATTGGTGTGGCCTTACATAAATAAATAGATTTCCTCAGACTGCTTTAAATTCTAAAACCCTGGATCTGGATCTGACATAGGTATAAGCATATTGCACATACATGTACTTTGTACATGTAACGTTATATATAGGGCTTATTCACCACAGATTGTCACGTGACTATCCCCCTGGCGTCCGCCATTTTGGGGCTATCGCTATGCAATGCTTTGCAAACTCTTGGCGATAGTTGTGTATTTTGGGCCACAATCTACGTTTTGGACACTCTTCTTGTTAGTAACATTGTCCTTGGGGTTGTTCTGGCTCCGTGTCCACTTTTCATGTTGTCAAGATTGGCTTTTCAGTCTTTCTTTGCTGATCAGAAATCGGTGTGTTTAATCCTGGCGCGGCGTACGGGGCTGTACATGTACATGTAGATTGAAACGTGGGTAGCCATGAACACGGTAAAATGTTGGACTCGGAGCTACTTGTCCCTTTACTCTGTGGTAAATCTCCATGTAGAACAGGGCGCTGGCAACGTGTAACACTCACCTTGTCCAGCCACAGTCGCGGCAGTGCGGACTGAGGATGGCGGCCGATGGCCTCGCCTTTGCTTGTTGTTTATCCAGACACACTCCGGGGCTGTTCCAAAATAGCCGCGACTTTTTGCGTTTCCCGACTACAACGTACTTAATTGTCACCACGCAACTGTCCCACAACACTTTCTACACATCCTGATACAACGCTTCCAGACTCTTGAACCGATCCTGTGTGTAAAAACTTCTGCCCAGTACCAAATACGAAGCTAAGTCACGTCAATGGACTCCGCTGGCGGTAGACGCCGTTTCTATCAGACTGATCAAAACTCAACAGAAACGGGTCAATCCCAACAGATTTTATTTTGTTCCAGTAACGAGAGGTATGAGTGGTGGTAAACTCTTCGTGTAATAGGACAAAGGACAGTTTACCTAACGTTTGTCGGCCATTTCAATGCTTGGAAACTCGCTGTAGGCGCTGTAGCCCCAAAATGGCGTCGCACGGGACATGAGGGGTCGTGACGTCATGATGACGTGTGGTGAATAAGCTCTATAGGGGACCTTTCAATATATTGGACATGTCAAAATGATCAACTTCCCTATTTTATGCACTTAAGCACTGTAGAAAAATTCATATTCTTCCATAGAAAAACATATGTTCTTTTATTTCTACAATAAAAAAAAATGAGGAAATGTTGAAATTATGCATTATAGTTAGTTTTATTTTGTATCTGCTAACTGTTCATTGTGTTTTGTTGTGACCTCTACTTATACATTTATAGCCCAGTGTGGCAAAAATGTGCCATAAAGGTCATTCATTCATTCATTCATTATATGGAAACATTGAATTTAAGTATTGTACTGTATGTTATAGCTCAGCTAATTAAATCACCACATGCATGTTCAATTCCTTATTGTTGAAACAAATGCAGTCTTGTCATTATCGTGTATCATTTTTCCACAGATGACGATGAGTGTCAGCTTGGCCTAGCACAGTGTGACATCCACGCAGATTGTTCCAACACGGACGGATCCTATATCTGTATCTGTAGGAAGGGGTACATAGGAGATGGTGTCATCTGCAATGGTTAGTAACAATCTGTTTGCATGGTGTGGTCCCGTTCATTGTGGATCTTTATATGATTTGAATATCCGTAAATAATTTCATCAGGTTGGTAAACGAACGAATAGCAAAGTTCTTTGATCACGACCATTTATTTTTCACGAGCCAACGTTTCGATGACCGTCTGTCATCTTCATCAGGGCAATTCTGACTGGTTTACTGTGCACTGATGCTAGATGTTACTTGGTGTATAGTGCATAAAGGTGTTACATAGTTCACAGTGCACTGTTACTTGGTTCACAGTGCACTTAAGCTAGTTTTTACTGTTAATAACCCCACGCACGTTAAAGATCCCACCACACTTATTGAAAAGAGTAAGGGCTCTTCCCCGTGTGAGTGGTTCAAAACTTACAGTCCTATGGCTGCACCTGGGGCCGTATTGAGGTCACTTAAGTTGGGTCACCAGGCGGAGTTAGCACTGAATGGCAGCCGCTCCAGACCCTTCCGATTAAGCCCCGATACTTAGCTTGTAAGCTCCTCATAATTCAGCTCTTGGCTTAAAAGAGAGATTAGTCGGCCCACCAAATACAAAAATAACTCTCTTGTGTGTCGATGAAGGTTAGACATCCAGGTAATACGAAACGATAACAGTTGCATATCAATCAATAGTTGGTGCTTATAAACCTGCATTTCTCCCTCTGGTCTCTCAGTCACTGACGAAAGGTAGTGGATGCTACCTGCAATGTCTGACCATTTCCAAAATCATATCCAGTTGCTTGAGTAACTGTTTTTTTGGCCTCTCTTGGGTGATTTTCCAGACCTGGATGAGTGTCAGGAAGGGACCAGCACCTGTGATCCTAACGGCAACTGCATGAACATCCCCGGCTCCTACACCTGCGAGTGCAAGTATGGCTTCCAGGGTGATGGATTCTTCTGCAGAGGTAAGACCGCATGTACAGGCGGTAGGCCACCGAGTTTTTGTCGAAATCTATAATATTGTTTTGTAAAGCATTAAAAACTAGAGAAGTAACATTTGCAAAGAAAATGCACAATGTTTACCTTCGGACATAGTCTGCCATGTTAATTTTTACTCACACACATTTACAAACATGTACTACTAGTATATGGTGACTAGGAGCAGAGCAGACCATGAAATTGCAACATTATGTAACCCAACACCAGTCACCATGGTGACAGACGTCAACAAATCATTTCATTGGTCAGGTCATAGGTCACTGTTTGGAGAAGAAGAAGAGGAAGAAACAGAGCAAAAACAATAATGTTTTCCTTCAGTAAACATAACTATTTTACAACTTGAGTTATTGTTTTTGGCATATTTCATTACAACATACACTGCCTACTCACTTACTAACCCTTGTCCTGCGGAGCACAACAATGTTGTTCTGCACAAACAGTACCATCTACATAACACCCTGTATACTTTAGGTACGATTTGGGGGTATTTCTTGTGCAATGCATCACACCACAGGGAAACGCAATGAATGCTGAAGTACATGTACATGTAACTATGCCACTGCAGGGCCAAAACATTTGGGGGTCTATATATGATCTAATTACCTTCGACAAGAAGGTTATGTTTTCAGTAGCGTTTGTCCGTCTGTTTGTCTGTTTGTCCGTTTGTCTGTTTGTCTGTGAACAGCATAACTCAAGAAGCTTAGTATGCATTGTCATGAAACTTGGTAGGTGGGTAGGTCTTGATGAGACCTAGAAATGATTAGATTTTGGGCCCCCTGGCGGCTTTTGTTGGTACTGCAGCAGAACTTCTGGTTTTGATATCTCGCGATCTGTACATGCTAGGGTCACGAAATTTGATTGGTAGATAGCTCTTGAGGTAGGGAAGAAGTGATATGAGTTTGGACCCCCTAGCGGCTTGTTCTGGAACTGCAGGAGCATTTGTTGAAAAATTTTCGAAGGATGATAACTAAGGAACCGGTTGACAGATTGTCGTGATTTTTGGTATGTAGGTAGCTGAAGTCATGCTTGACATAATCAAATGACAATTTTGCAAATCAGGAGCTAATTTGCATAATTAATGAGAAAATTCTATAAATCTGCTTTGTTCGATAATAGGACTATGAAACACTTGTGACATGTATTAAATTGAGAATGAAAAAAAACATCTGAGGATATAGATTATGTAAATGAATGTAAATGCATAATTAATGGGAAATGTTTATAATTTCATAGATGTAACTGCTGGGAATTTCATACTTGCTACATTTGGGAGTTAAGTGAAGGCGAACATCAATAAACATAATTTATTCAAATCATGACCTCATTTGAATATTGTTGGAGGTGCTATAATAATGTCCTTTTTGTTAAGATAAGACTGTCTTGGGTGGAGAATATGATCAACTGATATAACCCATGCAAATGAGTATCTTATTTGCAAAATCAATTATTAAAATTGTATAATTCTTAAACCGCAAGGGTTAACATCATTTGGCGAAGGTATGAGATCGTGGAACTCTTGTTAAGACATGAAATCATTGAAAAATATTGTGTCAGGAATGCCAGCAGGACAAGGGCTTAAATAGCCATCATAATACACACTGTCAGTGAACACCATTGAAAGATTCCAGAGAATACACTGAACACATAACACCATGATTAGGTTTTGCAGTTGCATTGAGAAACGCGCTACTCAAATCGATAGAACCACAAGGGGGCTAACATAAAAAAGATGAAGGTAGCCCCCTTGTGATTCTATCACCCATGGTAAGACCAGACTGCCTGTATTCTTGGTCAGAAAATACATTGTAGGACTTTTACTAACTTTTAGTCTACTGAAGTGTACACCATCTGATCTGCTGTAAGAAGTTAAATGAGATACGTTAAAGAACCCACCACACCTTTTGCAAAAGAGTAAGGAGCATGTTCCAGTTTACGATGGTCCAAATACTACTATCTGGAAGTTGGTGAATCACTACAACTCACCCAGATAGCAAACCCTCATCTTATACATGTATTTAGTGATACTATTAGGCACATGGTGATTTACATTCATCAAACACACTTACATGTAGCTATAGCGAAGCCACATTGCACAAGAAAGCTTCCAGAAAAAGTATCATGCTTCACCTCAATATTAATGACAATCATGATTCATGACAAATAACAACTACATGTACAGTGTAGTAGATCCAGAAAGATTCATAATAATACCTTCTCTCATATTAAGTAATTAAGTAATTAAGTAGAGTAACATCACAATATATATATTTAAACCATGTCAAATCTTTCTTCCCAATGTACAGATAATGATGAGTGTGCCATGAATGGTCGCCTGTGTGAAAATGGCCAGTGCCTCAACATCCCTGGCAGTTACTCCTGTGACTGTGACATGGGATTTGTACCACATGACAGGGACAGGCAATGTATAGGTAAGACAATGTTTATATATATATATACTAAGAGTAATTATCATATAGCCAGTAGCCATCGACCAATCAGAAGGCTCTATTTCCCATGGGTTATCAGGCCATAACCTTAAAAAGTGGGCAGTTATTCAGATAACCGCCCCCTTTTTGGACCGTACCATTATACGGGGGACAGGACACTAAAAAGTTAACGTATTGTAATTTATTTTGAATATATTTTTTTAGAATACAGCACAATTAAAAAGCTATAAATGAAATTTGAACAGAAAAATACAAAACATAATTTTTGACACCCCCACTAAAAGTGGTACTGTTTCAATGTCACATGGTCACCACAGATGATTACCTAGTAGATGATTCTGTTGTTCTGTACACACCATCTTGTTTCACGTGACATAGTTTTTTCGTAACATAGTTTTTGTCACAAGTTTTTTTATGGCGAATGGAGGAATTTTATAAAGAAATTTGGGTCAAATAACTTTGTTTCACTCGGTGGTTTATTCGGTGGTTATCGCACCCGACCAGGGATTATCTCACCATAATATATACAAAATGTATACACCTCGGGTCGGGGCATTAACCCTTTATTGAACTGCAGCTTTGTGGCGTCGGGTGGTGTAGTGGTTAGAGCAATCGACTATGAACCGGGGAGACCCGGGTTCGATTCCGAGTCGTACCCGGTACATGTCTGAACATGCGCCCCGACGTTGTGCCCTTGGGAAAGGCACTTTACACGAATTTCCTCACTCCATCCAGGTGTGAATGGGTACCTAACTTCGGTTGGGGAAGGTCGTATTGAGGTCACCTTGTGGCGCCGAATGGCAGCCGCACAGACCCTTTTAACAGTTGCACAAAAAATAATTGTGGAACAAATATGTGTATAATGTGTATTATTTGATTGTTGTAATTGTTGTGATTTGTATTGATCATTATGTGATACCCTGCATCAATTCAGCCGTATAAAGGCTGCGACTGCACGGGTACTGTTTGGACAATAAAAACCATTATTATTATTATTATTGCCTTTGCTAGAAGGGTGTCAGTTCGGCCATGGTGGTGGTGTGAGTCTGTATGTATGTCAACGTGATAACTCAAAAAGTTATAGATTGATCTTTGGCAGGTGAGTAGCTGTGGTTGATTCATGTCACTGGGAGTTCACATATTAGTACTTGAAGCCAAAATATACAGGTCTTTATATCATGTTAAAGATCAGAGGTTTTTTTCAAGCCAATTTAGTGTCATACTAAAATGGTGATGCACTGATTATTGCTGTTTCAATCTGTTTTTCAGACATCAATGAGTGTGCCTCTTTTGATGGAAACATCTGTGTCAACGGAGAGTGCATGAACTTGCCGGGAACTTTCAAGTGCATGTGTGATATGGGATATGAGTTGGACAAGAGTGGTGGCAACTGTACAGGTTTGTTTCACCTTTTTCTCTCATTCTGTATAGCCGGTATAACCGCCCTTCAGCGTAACACACCTGGTCCAGCTTCTAAGGCATGCGGCATGGCGGCAGCTGGCTACATTACACCGAATGACTTGTTACACCTAACCTCTGAACATCTAACTCTAAACATTGTTCAAAGCTATCTAATGACAATGCCCCTACTGTACTTGGTGGCAGCGAATTCCACTCTGAGTTCTAGGGAAAACAGGGTTTTGAACACCTTAATCCTTGGTTGATACTTGTAACTCTGAGGTATATACTTTAAGTACTGGACCAGGTATTTTTATAAGATTAATAGACTGTGCCATTGAAGAAGCATATTTAATGTCTCTACTATTTTGATCATTAATCATTAATCATTTGTTGATTTTGTAATCTTTTTATAAGAGATGTAACATCCGTGTCCATAATATCACCACGGTCCATAATATCGCCACCTTGAGAAACAGTGTGCTGAAAGATATTTTTACTGCAACATACTTTTGGTATGCACTCCTGCACACATCAAATGTACATACCTAGGGTATGTTGCAGTAAAAATATCTTTAAGCACACTTTTTCTCAAGGTGGCGATATTATGGACCCTGGTGATATTATGGACACAGATGTTACATGTAAGGGCAAACTTACCCTGTAAGAACATTTACAAAAATGTACCAGTTAGCAACTTTTACTAGGTGTTATAATGACATTTTTAAACTCATATGAGTCAATATATCATTGCAATTCATATTGTATTGTTTAGAATAAATGTCAGAGACACCGCCTGACATCATACATGTACACCTGACATTGTAGTTCACTGACAATCTTGTGCTTATTTTTGCCTCCTCACAACCCAGATCAGGATGAGTGTGCTCTGAAGGAAAAGTGTCTGAATGGAATGTGTACCAACTTCCCTGGAGGCTACGCCTGCGACTGTCCTCACAACTTTGTCTCCAACAGTGCTGGCACCGGGTGTGTTGGTGAGTGACCTGTCGTTGTCCAGTCAGACTAAGACAAAAAGTGGTCTTCTTAGACAAGTGGTCTTCTTATACAAGATGCATGGCAAGAAGACACTGAGAACAAGAAAACCACAGCAAATGTGCCACTCATTTTACATCAGACTAAAACTTGTTTTAAGACGACCACCCAGGGGACCAAGGAAAAGTGGTCTTCTTAGACAAGTGGTCTTCTTATAAAAGATGCATGGCAAGAAGACACTGAGAACAAGAAAACCACAGCAAATGTGCCACTCATTTTACATCAGACTAAAACTTGTTTTAAGACGACCACCCAAACGACCAAGGAAATTAGTAGTCTTCTTAGACAAGTGGCCTTCTTGTAAAAAGAAGCATGGCAAGAAGACACTGAGAACAAGAAAACCACAGCAAATGTGCCACTCATTTTACATCAGACCCACCCAGGGGGACCAAGGGAAAGTGGTCTTCTTAGACAAGTGGTCTTCTTATACAAGATGCATGGCAAGAAGACTAGAGAACAAGAATACCACAGCAAAGTGGCACCCATTTTACTGTTACAGACTAAAACTTGTTTAAGACGACCACCCAGGGGACCAAGGAAAAGTGGTCTTCTTAGACAAGTGGTCTTCTTATAAAAGATGCATGGCAAGAAGACTAGAGAACAAGAAAACCACTGAAAAAAAAAAATTTGGGACGAAGAAAAAGCAGTTGTTATGGCCAGATGACAGGCTTAATATACATTTATAGGACAGGTGGTTTCTTGGGCAAGTGTGACTGTACATTATTATTCTACACTCAAACAGTTTAATTTGTATTATATAAAGAACTTTATTGACACAACAAAAAGTACAGCGACTTTTGTAAGGTCAAAGACAACTGTACATGCATTGTGTACTATATATTAGAGATGCCTCATATGTGAAAGAGACATTGAAAAAGACATTTAGCCATTTCTTAGGTCCGTTGATGAAGGTTAGACATCCAGGTACAGTAATACGATACATCAAAAAGCAGTCACTCAAGCAACTGGATATGACTTTGGCAACGGTCAGACGTTTCACCTAGTATCCACTAGCTTTCGGCAGTGACTGGTCCTACCGTAATTTTTTCACAAACATTCCAAGTACTGAAATTCTAACATTTTCTGCCCCTTGCCCTTGTTAGATCCCAGGAAAGGGCTTTGCTTCTTTGATTACCAGGAGCGGGGGGACCTGGACATCTGTACCCAGGAGGTGGGCAGAGACATGTACCGCTCTACCTGCTGCTGCAGTATGGGACAAGCCTGGGGTGACCCGTGTGAACCCTGTCCTCCTATCAACTCAAGTAAGTCCAAATTAAGTTAAAAAGTTTAAGCTTGTTCCAACACAAAGAAAGAACTCACCATAAATGATAGTGGCAGATTTCGTCTTCCCGCCTCTTTTTCTTTTGATGCACTCCTGACGTCATCACGCTTCCGACTTCCGGAAAAGTCAGTGATTGCATCACACATCTGTCGAAGGTTGACGGGATCAACCAAAAATCTATGGTGAGTTCTTTAAGTTTTCTTGTGTTGGAACAAGATTAAACTTTCTAACTGTGGATTCTACCAACACAGATGAGATTTCATTCGAATATAAGTCCAAATTTGTGAGGAAATCCTAAGTGATGCAAAATGGCATTTCTTTCTGCACGTACATTTAGGCCATGCTGATTTGATTATAAGAATGACATCCTCTGGGAACACCAAAACAGATGCGAGCGTGCAAATAAAAAAGTTTGGCAAACAAAAAGTTGTTTTCAATTCATTATATGAAACCTACATGGTCATGAAGGTTGAACAAATGACTTTTCTAATATTTTTGTAATATTTACGACATATAATTATAGTATATATGCTCATTTTTCAGGTGCTTTGTATGACTTACAGTACTGTCAGTGGTAAAAAATGAACAAAAATTCATGCGCACGTAGATGTCAACCATATAATCAAATCACCATGGCCTTATCTGAAATATTTGCTTCGCTAGGTTTTAACTCTGTAACTTATATCTCACTGTGTTTCCATTTGCTGCAGCTGAACACACTACACTGTGTCCTGGTGGTCCTGGCTTTAAACCCAATAATGTCACTGTCATCTTGGAAGGTAAGATTTGATTGGGCTTGCTCTTCATTAGTAGTAAAATCATTCTTTATTCACAAATAAAAGAAACTAACATTGAGCCCAGGTCACGTCGGCCATAACTGCCCGAACATGCAGGGAGACATTTAGACATATAACATTATACAATACATCAGGACATACAATATTGCACAGTTTCCTTCAATATAGCACAGTTTTCATTAAAATTATCACAAGAATTTGTTAAACTTTGACTTAAATGTTACCACTTCTATCTAGTGCAAGATGACGTAACCACATTGTAGTTTCAGGGAGTAGGCCGGTATTAATTATATTAAGTAGTTACGATACAGTGTCTGAGTCCCAATTCGGCTCGTGACGTGCATTCCATATATAGCGTAGGACGCAAATTTGGTCACTGTTCTCATGCGGTGAAACGCACTCTGTTCATAGCACACTGCAGTGCAATGTATTGTGCTCAGCTTTGGTCCAGCTACAGAGCAGGAAACATTCATAGGCTACGAGTTGCTTATCACGATGGTCTTAAAATCCTACTGTCTCAGCCCTAGTACTAGTACTCAGTACTAGTAACAGCGACCTATTTGTACAGACTCGTGTCGACACGTTTGACGTAATCTTGTGTGTCTGTGCTATGGGCCATTGAGCCTGAAATAAACAATAAATAGATAAGATGGCAATACGACTAATGTCTTTGAAGTCATTTACTAGATGATTAATCTTCAAATGTCTAGATTCAATATATAGTGTGTCTTACTACTACTTTAAGGCAGTACATTTGTTTAGAAACTGTGTCAGTGTGATCTGATATTTTTTTAATCTTCAGATATTGATGAGTGTATGGAGTTGGTGGGGCTGTGCCAGGGTGGCATGTGCATCAACACGTTTGGCAGCTTCACCTGTGAGTGCACACGTGGCTTCACATTGGACAGAGACTCCCGCACCTGCAATGGTATGTCCTTTTTATTCTGATCTGTATACTCTCAACTCTTCTACAATCAATGGCTGATAATAATTCATATCTTTACATGTACGGGTGTTTGAAATGTTCAGATAAGGCCATGCCAATTTGACAAATTGGTTCTTGGATTTGCCTGCTTTATTACCTTCGCCAAGAAGGTTATGTTTTCAGAGGCGTTAGTGTGTCTGTCTGTCTGTCTGTCTGTCTGTCTGTGAACACGATAACTTGAGAAGGCTTAAATGGATTGACTTCATATTTGGTAAGTGGGTAGGTCTTGATGAGACCTCGAAATGATTAGATTTTGGGCCCCCTAGCGGCTTCTAATGGTACTGCAGCTGAACTTCGGGTTTTGATATCTCGTGATCTGGACGTGCTAGGGTCACGAAATTTGGATGGTAGGTAGCTCTTGTGCTGGGGAAGAAGTGACATAGGTTTGGGCCCCCTAGTGGCTTGCTCAGGAACTGCAGGGACATTTCTTTGAAAATATTCAAAAGAGGATAACTCAAGAACCGGTGAACGGATCGTCATGATTTTTGGTAGGTAGGTGACGCTTGACATAATTATGTGACAATTATGCAAATCTGGATGTAATTTGCATAATTAATGAGGAAATTCTATAAATCAGCTGCATTACATTATAGGACTATTCAAGCTTGTGACATATGTAATTGAGAACGAGAGAAACACAGGTAGATATTCATTATGTAAATTAACACTTAATTTGCATAATTAATGAGAAAATTCATAATTCCATAATGGTAACTGCCTGGAATTTCATACTTGGGGTATTTGAAAGTTAAGTGAAGGTGAACATCATTAAACATAACTTATTCAAATAAGGACCTCATTTGCATAATTTATGAGGAAATGATAGCATGGCTTTCTTTGTTAAGATAATGCTGTCTTTTGATGGAGAATATGATCAACTGATATAATTCATGCAAATGCCGGAGGAATCATCTTTGTCAGTCATAAAGATTGACATCATTTTTTGGCGAAGGTATGAGATCGTGGGACTCTAGTTTTTTTCTGAATCAGATGTGCAATAAAAAAAAAAGATTCAGGTTCTGAGTCAACTTAAAAATGCTCATAGTTTGGCCCGAACAGTTGTCAGTTGGTACAGTTCCATCTAATATCAATTCTTTGGTTTGATAAAAAAGTTTAAGATTCATTATTTGAATCAACGTTATAAACCAGCCTGGTATGTTGACAGTGTTGCCCCTATTATAGTTTTGGGGGCTATCAGAGGATGCCTAGGTCTGTTTTTATTTTTTTATTTTCCACCCTGTCACTTAATATTTTTTCTTAACAAATCCAAGAACCAACAAATCAAATTGGTGTGGCCTTATAACATCATTGTCAATGTTTTGTGGTTCTGAAAGTCATTGGTTGTAATTTTCCCCCTCTGACCATGATCAGGTACAAGAACCTATACAACAAGATTGATGTTTGTTTAAAGTTAAAATTTTTGTTCCAACACAAAAAATTCTCTCACCTAGAGCTTTTGACCAGTCACTCGGGTCTTCCTCAGTAGACTAACCCAGTGAAGCTTGTCACGTGGCTTCTTTGAAGTGTGACGTCAACACTGGGTCAAAGGTACATGTATCTGGTAGATGATGTCGGCTCCCGTCGCAGTTCAATGTAGCGGTGATGTGCCCCGATGTATATGGCTTCCTTCACCCCTCTCAAGAAATAGTCTTGTTCAGTGTCTAAAATCCTTACAGTGTCAAGTGAAACAAAATGTCCGGGTGACTCTGTGGGGATGTGTTGAGACACCTCTGACCTAGCAGAGCTAGGCCGTGTATGTTCTTGAAACCTGGCTAACTTTAAACAAACTATACCAACGCAGATGAACTTTTGTGATAAAATTGATGTTTGTATTTGTTACCCTTACAGACATTGATGAGTGCCTGATTGACCCGACGGTTTGTGGAGCTGGCACCTGTCTGAACACAATCGGCATGTACACCTGTGTCTGTCCTAATGGTCACATGGCCATCAATGGTGGCCTCAGCTGTATGGGTATGTCTGACTCCCTCTTTTGGTCATTGTTCCATGCTGGTCATTTTGCTCACAATACTTAAAGTATGATTCATCATTGACAATACGTTAGTCTAATTTTCAGCAAGCCATTTTGTGTTACCTTGCCTTGCAAAGTTGTTTTTAAAGTTAAATGATTTAGTTTAGTGATAGATGATTTTTGGGACATAAAACCTGTATCCATGTACTCTGTTCAAGATTAGCTGTTGCATGTCATTGGATGATAATTCAGATTGAAGTTTACCGACTCAGTCTCTGAATGTGATAACCATTCAAACATCATAACTACGTATACCAGCAGTCAGTGCAGTGCATTCTCTGAGCAGATCCTAATATATGGAATGATCATTAGCTACCAAAGCTGTTCACTCCTTTGGCCAACGATTACAGCCTTGCAATCATTGGATCTGCTTGGAGATTGCATGGTACTGTAACAGTGCTCTACAACAGGCACAGCTCCAGATTTACGACAAGCTGTCATTAAAGTAACAACCAGGATCAGGTAACTGAACACACTGTGTCCATTTGTGGCCTGGCTTTGTTAATGGAACATAAAGTTCCTCCGTGTTTTTCTGTGACATCATGTGGCGTAATGGTCAGAGCGTTCGGCTCAGAACCAAAGTCCTGGGGTCGATCCCGTGACATGCCCGATGTTGTGACCTTGGGAAAGGCACTTTACACGACGTCCCTCCCTGAATAGTAGTAAGAGTGATGCCCACCAGGCCTTTTGGCTAATTTTTGATACTGTGTCTAAACACTGATCCGGACAGAGACAAATTTGGTGTCGCCAATGTGCCAAGCTTTGCACATTTTCCACCAAGAGCCATAACAGTTACCTTTTTTTCTGTTTTTTATGTCCAGACATGAGGAAGAGTTTCTGCTATGCCATGGTGAGGGGAGGTCAGTGTCAGAACCCCACCAGCTTTAACCTGACGGAGCGGAGCTGCTGCTGCTCTGTGGGGGCCGGCTGGGGGGAGCCCTGTATAACCTGCCCTGTGGAGAGGACAGGTAAATTTAAGTTAGGCCATGTTGACTTGATTAATAATATGTGGATGACATCCGTGCACGCATGAATTTTTGTCAGTTTCCAAAAAGAAAATGTTTTCAACCGTACTTTAAATCATACATACATGTAGCTGCTGCAAAATGAGCAACTATGTGCCGTAAAATTGAAAAATGTCGTATAATGCCAAAATCAATTCCAAAGGAAAAGAAGAAAATTAAAATGAGTCTATTATTCGCCATACCATACTCTGTATGTTTAGTCATTTGTTTAACCTTCGTATAGATTTCATAATGAAGGCATCTTTTTTGCCAAACTTTTTTTGCTCACACCAGTTTTGGAATTCCCATTGGATGTCATCCATATAAGCAAATCAACATGACCTTAGTTGATCAAGAGACCGTCAGACCAAGGACAATATTATTAGACAAAAGACAAGATTATCATTATGGCTTCACCAGACCACGAAGTGGTCTGGTGAAACCATATTGTTTTCTCTGATGTTTCTTCTCCTCCTTCTTCTTCTCCTGCCATTTTTTAAAATGGATTCAGCTTCTTCATTTTGGGGCCTAAGGATCTGAAATTTGGTATGGAGGTACAGTGGGCAAATACCCTTAGGCGTTTTTTAAATTTTTGTGATACAGGCTTTTAGAATGGTTTTATTTGAGTTTTTTGGCTGTATTATAGCAAATGTATTACTGTGTCAGTGGGCAGTGTTAACCACATTTGGCATGAGTCATCACAATGGAATGCAGGGCATCAACCAATAGGCATGCAGCTTTCCTCTCTTCTTCTTGCTGATTGGCTGTTGGGATTTAACTTGATTAACACCTGCACAGACCATTTCCACCTGCACAGAGCATTTCTTGCTGATTGGCTGTTGGGATTTAACTTGATTAACACCTGCACAGACCATTTCCATACTGACAGTATGTCTGTATTCAAGTGTTTTGGTAGGTATTTCAAGCTTTCCTGCTCCAGCATTGGAATGCGGGGCATGAACGTTTTTTTTTTGAAAATCAACAGTTTGCATTATGCAATTAAAAATCCTAACCAATAATGTTGGGAATAGCTAGCCAACTGTTGTAGTCTTAGTTGTATGTTACTTCATATTATAGTTATATCAATGTAAAGCATTGTTTTCCCTTGTGTTTCTCATTCTTTCCCTGCCATGTTGTAAAATGTGGTGAAGCCATCGCTGTATTTGCTCCAAAGCAAATATTGGCCTTTCTAGTTATTACTGTTTCTAGGCTGCTTGATCTAACAATCAAATATCAATCATGAATTCAAAGTCTCCTTGCTAAGTAAAAAGCAAAGAAATTTCTACATTTCAAATTGTTGAAAAAATCAACCAGGCTGTAACTACTAACTGTAAGCCTGTTAGTTTGGTCCTGTACATATTTCGGCAACTTTTGTTCAGAGTTACGTGTGATTCTATTTTTCAGATGCCTTCAGGGAATTGTGTGGTTCTGACGAGAAGGGCGTAGTGATTGATCCTGAAACTGGAGAAGTCATCGGTGAGTATTTGCTGAAGGCACAACCTAATTTCCTAATTGCTACTCACTAGGAAAAACAAACCTCAATGAGAGAACCTTGTGAAGATGTACATGTGGAAAGAGGAGGGCTCTAACCAGCAGCCGTTTTTCTGTCAATTGCAGGAACTTTGTTGGCACGTGACGGAAAAATTTTTAAACTAATCTGTCCACCTTGACGGACAAGAATCTTTAGTAAAAATATAAAACAGCCAGAGGACCGCCAGCAACCACTCTCAACCCCATGATTTGCCTCTCAAAATGTGCAAAATTGCGTTTTTAAAGGCTTGGAGAATCCCAAATTCCCCTAGATTTGCACTCTCCCCCAGGTCCGATCATGAACCAACCTGGGCTGATGGAAAAAAAATTTGAGCTAGCTGGAGCCTTGGGAACGTGCGGGAACTGTGTGGATTGGCATGTCTCTCAAGTTTACTCAATGGCATTCACACTTACTGTTCAAATATGTGGGGTGGCCACAAGTGTCATCAAGGCTTAGAGATGAAAACAAAATGAGAAAGTATGTTGTCTGCTTTGAAGGGGAGGTGGTAACTGACCAGTCAATATAACTGTTACAGTAGGTAGAATTAAATGAAAGTGTTCTTTTTTTTAACAGCTGCCATCATTCTTGTTTGCTTGTTAATAGAGGTAAATTTGGGTTCTCCTGTTGCAGTTCTCTTAACCTACACTTGACAGCAAGGTTGGAAACCCAAACACTGGTTGCTCGTCATGTGGGTGAAAGTTAATGTTAGAAGTGGGTGTACTGTCTGGGGGAAAGGTTTGCTCTCAGAATGTTAAGCTTAAACAGACATCATGCAGGGTTTGCCTGGGCAGAGTTGGACTGCAGCGGTTGTCTGCTTCTTGCTGTTTACGTCCAACACCTCTGCTTACTCCTTCTATGTTTTCTATTATGTAGACATTGATGAGTGTCAGACGATACCAGACTTGTGCAAGAACGGCATCTGTATCAACACTCAGGGCAGCTATCGCTGTGAGTGTCCAAAGGGCTTCCAGTTCAACTCAGACTCACTTATATGTGAAGGTAGGGATGGACATGTTTATCTTATATTCTCTGTCTTATTTTTTAGAATTAGAACGTTCAGGTTTCACTTTTAGATCATAGAAAAGTTTGATTGTTAGATTTTTACTTAGGCCATGTTGATTTGATTAGGCCACACCAATTAAATTTCATGGATGACGTCCTTTGGAGACCCTAAATCTAATGCGAGAGGGCGAAAAAAAAACAAGAAGGGCCCTAAAAAACAAGATGCCTAGATAAGAAATATTGCACTGCTGACAGGACCATCCTGTCCGTTAATAGTTCCAAAAACGGCACTGTTTTGGAACTATTGACAGGATTTTTTTCAGTTCCATTTTGTTTGTTTCTTTCATTTTTGTTTTCATTTCTTCAACCAGGCACAGGCTTTCGGCATTACGGGTTTCACGTCAATCTGACGATTTGCGGCACTGTCGTGACTCTTTGGTCATAGTTACAGGAGCGGAATTTCTTGTTTTTTTCTAGGAACAGGCCAAAATTAATGCGCGCGCGGACGTCATCCATAAAATTTACTTGGTGTGGCCTTATATGGATGACATCCGCGCGCGCATGAATTTTCGGCCGTTTCAAAAAAAAAGTTTTCAACCATACTGTAAATCATACAAAACAGTTGCAAAATGAGCAAAAATATACCGAAAGTTACAAAAAAACCATACCAATGTCGTAGAATGCCAAAATCAAACGAAAAAAGACGAAATTGTAAAGAAATGAACTTGAAGACTAGATTATTCGCCAAACCATATTCCGTCCCATTTGTTCAACCCTCATGACCACGTAGATTTCATAATGAAAACAACTTTTTTTTTTGCAAAACTTTTTTATTCGCACGCGCGCATCAATTTTGGGGTTCCCTGAGGATGTCATCCATATAATCAAATCAACATGGCCTTACTAGTGAATATTTGTGAATTGTGTTTCAAAAGATGAATTATATGAAATAAAGATTTGCAATATTTTGTTTCTGTTCACAGTACCAGACAGTCAAACGAAGGACAATATATTCAATCATATCAACTAGGTTAACAATAATTATGCTGGATCTGTTGGTAAAATGCAGTTGATACAAAAAAATTATGTACAATTACAATGTATATAATTTCTGCAGAATTTGTACCCACACCTAGTGCTTGTATTTTGCATAGACTTGAATGAGTGCCTCCTGGGACAGAACCCTTGTGATCCAAGTGCAGTTTGTGTAAACATCCTTGGAGGTGTCAAATGTGGCTGCGATCCAGGCTACAAACTCTTACCCAATCAGATCAGCTGCAGAGGTGAGTTATTTGTTTATTTTCATTTTTTTTAAGTTTATTTCTTGTAAACATGTAAAAGGCAGAACTTTTTTTTCATCCTGGGTCATTCATGAAGCTTAAGGCTCCAAATCCTGAGGCATGACCTGTACGTTTGATACTTGGGGAAAATTTGTATCGTTAGAAATTGTGATTTGAAATTAGCTTCCATAGCATGCCAAAAACTGGGGGTTTTGGGGGTCTCCAGGGTCTTTAGGAGCTTTTATGTGCTATTTTCTGATTGCATATGGACAACATAGCCGGCCTGGTTGAATTAGAACTGGGCTGATCAGAAAACAGCCGAAGACCACCAAACCCCCAGTTCTATAAGCCTGCTACTCACTCACTCACTCAGGCTAATTTGAAATCCTTTAATGTATCAATTAACCAATAGAAAACCACCTGAGTACTACTACATGTATATGTGACTGTCAGTAACTGATCAGTTGATGACAGCCTCATTTCAGTCATAATTCAGGAACTACTCTAACTTCTCTCTCCAGATGTGGATGAATGCAGAGAGCAACCAGGAATTTGTGGCCAGGGACGCTGTACCAACTTACTGGGCAGCTACAACTGTTTCTGTGACAATGGGTTCAGGCTGTCGGAAGACAGGTCCACCTGTGTAGGTATGTACATTTATGTCCTACCTGGGCCGCGATTACGTTCGATACGGGTGTTCCAGCCCGTGTGATAACTAGCGGTACGGCCCGGGGGTTCTTTACGCGTACGGCCCGGGCCTTCCAAATGTTCCGTGGAACGATTCGAACGCGTTTTGGCCTAACCGCGTGCACCGATTTCGAAATTCGAATACAAAATTCGGACGTTGGAATTGATGTTGTCGCATTTTTTGGGTTTAGGGACACCAACTTTTCGCTCATTTCGCATTGAAAGGCGCGTTTTCTTGGGTGGGTATGACATAAATAAAATACGACATGGTGTATTCCGCATCACCCTCGGTCCCAGCCCTCCCGCGGATCGGATCTCCCTCCGGCCTTCGGCCGTCGGGCGATCTGACGCGCGGTCGGGCTGGTACCTCGGGCGATACGGAATACCCCGTGTTGTATTCTATATTTATATCATACCCGGGCCGCGATAACGTTTGATAACGGGTTCCGGAACGGGCCGTACTTTATGGTACAACCGGGGCTCCATGGCTTCCATAGAATGATTCGAACACATACTGCCCTAACTGCGTTTGCCGCTTTCGAAAATCCGAATACAGAATCCGGGCGTTGGAACTGACGTTGTTGCATTTTAGGGTATAGGGGCACCAACTTTTGGTTCATCTTGCATTAAAAGGCGTGTTTTTTTGGGTGGGTATGACATAAATAAAATACAACACGGTGTATTCCTCATCACTCTCGGTCCCGGCCCTCCCGCGAGTCGGATCTCGTCTTTTAGGTTACAGTAATGACAAATTCTTTGTTGCAGAGGATACTATAGAATTTCACTGTGGATTTCATTATTATGGTGATGAACTCTGAAATGCAGAATCTGTTGTTGTTGTTTCAGATGTGGATGAGTGTGCCCGCTCTCCGGGCATGTGTGGGAATGGAACCTGTCAGAACACTCTCGGCTCCTACAACTGTTTCTGTTATGACGGGTTCAAGCTTACTGATAACAATGACTGCATCGGTAAGTGAACAACATAAAAACCAATCATGGTACAGAGTTGAACAGAGGACAAGACATTTTTGTTGTGCAGTTACTATTTGATTTGTTACCGTTATCATATTGATTTAATTTTTCAATTACTTATTGTTATTTATTATTACCATTTGATTTGTTACCATCATTACAGTTGTCAATTAATTTAGTCGGGGGAAGATCGCGGACAAGCCATTATGGCTTTTTGTCTTTCCCCTGCATATCCTATTTTACTGTAATATGTTCATTTTATTGTTCTTCTCTTTCTTCTCTCTCTTTGATTATATGCGAATAAATAAGAAATAAAAAAAATAAAAATGGCAATGCTGAAGATTTTCGTAACCTTACCCAGACACATATATATAAAAATAACAAAATCTCTCTATATAGACAGTACTAGTATATAAAAGTATATGAAAAACCCATTGCCAACCACTTTGTAGGCTACAGACTACTTTATTCATGTTATACAAATTAATTTGTAAGTCTGATATGTAAACTTCCTTTAGAAGCAAAAAATTGTTCGCAGCTGTCCTTGGTGCTGAACGACATTCACTTACAGAGGACAAGAAATTTTTGTTGTGAAGGAACATGTCAATGCTGAAGAGTTTAGTAATTGTACCCAGACACATATTACGTAATAATTATCTGGCTAATTAGAATAATAGCAAAATCTCTAGACAGTACATAAAAGTATATGAAAAGCCCATTGGCAACCAGTTTGTAGGCTACAGACTGCTTTCATGTTAATACAAATTAATTTGTAAGTCTGATATGTAAACTTCCTTCAGAAGCAACAAATTGTTTGCAGCTGTCCTTGGTGCTGAACGACATTCACTTTGTATTTTATGCACATTAGGCCACACTAATTTAATTTCTTGGTTAACGGATTTGCCCGCTTCATTTTTTTCTGATTTGCAAATTAAAATAAGAATTCAGAATCAACTGCAAAATGCTCATATTTTGCCCTGAACAGTTGAAAACAGTCCTTTTCATACTAGTTGTGCAGTTATTCCATCTTTCAAGGCAATGGTATCATTAAAAGTTCAAAATGCATTGTTTAAATTTTGAACCAGCCTGGTGTGTTGATTTCATGGCTGCTATTGTACCATTTTGGGCCATAATAGGATGCCTAGGCCTGTTTTTATTATTTTTTTTCGCCCGCCTGCTCCATTACTTTTCTAGAAAAATCTGTTAACCAAGAAATTAAATTAGTGTAGCCTTACAAAAATCTGTGTTGTTCAATAGCCATATGCCTGCTCTTCCTTTGCAGATATTGATGAATGCTCGGTGATGAGCTCCATCTGTATGCAGGGATTCTGCCAGAATGTTCCTGGTGGTTTTAACTGCATCTGTGACCTGGGATTCGAGCAAACTCAGGATGGCAGGAACTGTATTGGTGAGAATGAATGAATGAGTGAGTGAGTGAGTGAATGAATGAATGAATGAATCAATACAATCAAGTCTGAGATGAAGTAGCAAATTGAATGTACAATATCCACCATTAGAACTAATTTAGAAGACTTTATTTAACGTTAACACTTTGCACCAAAAAAATGAAATATTTAATTGTGTCATTACTTCCATATTTTTAACAAATTTGTGCAATTATTTCACATTTCTGACATTTATGGTTGACGCTAAATCAGCAGACACGACTCGTAGTCTGTTTTTGGTGCCACCCCAAACTACCAGACTGGAAACAAACATGGTGGACAGCTATATTTCAAGCTTTTAAACACACCCATAAAGTGTTTTTTTGGCACCTCCACTTCCTGAATGCCATCAATTATTTGCTGTGGAGTAATGTATAGTTGTAAAGAAATGACCAGAAAATTGACTTTTGTATCTTCCTATTGTTACATAATAAAAAAAAAAAAAAAGAAAGTT